AAGTAACTTGACTACTAGCTTGCAAGTAGCAGAGGTAGAATTTGAACGCAGGTTGTGTGACTCCAAGGTACATGCTTTCACTCCTTGCACTATGCTGTTTTTCATTCTTCATGTTTATCGTCTAGGTACCCAACTCATAATACTCCCTATTGGAAGGGATTCATTGGCGGAGGATGATGTCAGCATTATTTTGTGTGATTTGACATTCTGTGTGCTGACGAAACATAATAGCTACTGTTCACTGAGCATCTTCTTGTCTTCTCAGTCACACTGGCACTTTTCCCAGATTAGTTCTATCCCCACTGTAGAATCTAGGATCAGGAATATAGCTCAGCCTTGATAGAGCAGAACTTGGAAGGTTTTCAGAAACCAGTTCTCTCTTCCCTGTTTCCTGTACAACTGCTTCGCGATTATTTCATCTTCAGAGCAGCATTCAGGGCCTTCCTGTGACTATGAAAAATACAGCCACTCTACAGCCTTCAGGTTGACTGTTGGAGGTGCCAGACCCCATTCACAATGCTGTGATAAGAAGTTCATAAGTATCAGCTCATTTTGTCCTCATAACAAGCCTATGAAGCAGGTACTTTTACTATCACCAATCCCCATCATCCCATTTTACAAATAAGAAAATTGAGGCCCAGAAGAGTTAATACAGATTGTCTAGCTCAGAAAGAGGAGGCTCAGGATTCAAACCAGACAGTCTGATTCCAAAGGTCACACACTCTGAATCCCAAGCCCAGGTTTCCAGGGGAAAGAAGCTAATAGATTCAGCATGTGGCAGGAACAGCCTGCAGGGTCCAATGAACTAAACGAGGCAGGTGGGGGGCAGCTGAAGTCCAGGAGCCAGGGCTGGGGTGTAGGGAGAGAGGGAACAGCAGTTCTCAGAAGAAGTGGAACATTACATAACAGGCATTTACTCAAAAAGAAGTTACTACATCCTGTGTAGTTTGAGTTCAGATTCCACATTTACTCCTGTACCGAATGAAGATCAGGGAAGTTGACCTGCCTGTTCCAGCTACACAAATGTGACAAGATTCAGACTCAGCCCATCTAATTCTTAAGCCTTACTTTATTATAACACACTTTCAGAAGAGGATGGCCAGGACAGTTGAGAGAATGCATTATGCGGCAGATCATATTTTCTGAAAATGGCTGTAACAAATATCTCCCACCCCACATGATCTAAAATATTAACTTTGATATTTCCCCATTGAGATCACGGGACTACATACAGTTCCTTGGACTTGGGAAGGCTCATGTGGCTATGGCAGGAGTGACATTACAGGACCTCTAAGGTCATAAAAGATGATACAGTTTGCTCTGGTACTCTTGACATGCTGACTCTTGGAATGTAGTCACCATGCTGTGAGGGGCCCCAAGCCTACCTATGGAGAAAGACCATGTGGAGAAACCTTGAACTTATATACAGAAAGAGAAATGCCTGGCCTGCTCTAGCTGTTCCAGCCCCCCATGGTTCCAGCTCCCGTTACCATTTCACTGCAACCTCATGATAGAAACAGAGCTAGAACTGCCCAGATAAGCCTTCCAATTGTTTTAAGCTGCTAAGTTTTGGGAGGATATGTTATACGACAGCAGTAATCAGAACAGTACATTCTGAGGAACAGAGCTCTTCAGAAGGACATTAGAGCCATCTTCAAATAACTAGAGGGCTATCATGTTTAAGAAGAGTTTGACTTGGAATGTGAAGCTCTAGGAGGCATCGACATTTGGGAATATTGCAGGGAGGCAAATCTGATTTTTCATAGATGTCTCCTCTAACTGTAGAACCTTGGAACAGAGTCACATAACAGTGAGCACTCTGCCATCAGACATATTTAAGCAGAAGAATGACCACTTTGGGAGACGTAGCCGGGTCCAGAAGATCTCGAAGGCACTTTTCAACTCTAAAAAGATATAATTCCAAATGAGTTAAGGCTAAAACTGTTTTGAAGGAGAAACATTTGGTAAACCCTCCTTAGAAAAGGTGAGGATTAATCTGGGCTTTCAAAGTTGGAGAGGGTTGGGAAAAGTGAAAAGCAGGAGGGATAACTCAGCAAAGAACAACCAGTGGAACCTGTTTATTTAGCCAGCAATACCCAATGACCATGCCCCTCTCACTTTAAGACCCTACTTCCCTCATCCACTTATGGTGTTATGGGCCATCATCCTTCCAGACACTTTCCCAGTCACCTGCAACTCTGTTGGCTCCTTCAATTCTCAATGCCATTGGTTATTAAGTTGTTCAACTCTTATCTTCACATTAAGTCTTGCATCTGTTCCTTGTATTCCATTTGCACTGTCATTGGCTTTGTTCGTGTCCTTACCACCTCTCATCTGAATGTCTGCAACAGTCCTCGAGATGGTTTTTTTATGAAGTCATTCCTCAGAACGCTCTGAATATGTCAGCCCCTGGTTCTAAAATCAAAACCTTCATTTAGTTCCCATTGCTTTTAGAATAAAGTTGAAATTTCTTAGTAAGGCATTCAAGGCTTTCATGATATGGCAGAGAATGAAGGTAGGGAGAGGTGAAAAAAGAAGGGTCGGGTAAGAGAGAGACATTAATTCCTGTCTTAGATTTTTAGAACTGCTATAACGAATTAGCACAATTATGTATGGCTTAGTATAACAGAAATTTATTCTCTCACAGTTCTGGAGGCTAGAAATCCAAAACCTTGGGGGTGTGAGGGACTATGCTCTCCCTGAACGCTCTAGGGAAGGATCCTTCTTTGCCTCTTTCAAGCTTCCCAGAGCTCCTGGAGATTCTTAGCCTTCCTTGGCTTGTAGCTGCATCACTCTAATCTCTACCTCCAGCTTCACATGGCCTTCTTCCTTGTCTGTGTGGGCTCAAATCTCCCTCTCCTTTCTCTTATAAAGATACTCATCCAAACCCAGTATGACCTCACTTAAACTTGATTAAACCTGCAAAGACCTTATTTCCAAATAAGGTAATATTCACAGGTTATGGGGGTTAGGAATTGAAGGGATCTCTTGAGAGACACAATTCACCCCTCTATAATTCACATTGGTGGAAACAGAACGATGGCTTAACGTAGGCATGGAATCTTACTTGTGAAAAGGCTCTGCACGAAGTGAAGAATTTCAGAAACAGGGGAGGCCAGATTACCAGGAGGATTTTCTGAACAATGGAATAACATACATAATCAAATAATAAAATATTACACATGAAAAATCATTCTGGAAGCTGGATATCAGAACAATTATAGAAGGTAGTTAGGAGGTTCAGTAAAGATGATGTCACAGTAGCCCAAAGATGAAGACACAGGCACAAAATTATATTAACCCCAGGGGGCTGTTAACTTTGCCCCCTTTTGTTCAGCAATATCTCCCAAGATTCTAGAACAGTGTTTGTCATATAGTTGTCACATAGTAGATGCTCAGTACACACTTGCTGAATAAGTGGGTGGACAAAGTCGGCTTTCCCTGGCAGGAATAGAGAAAGAATGATGCCATAGGCCTTTCAGAAGTGGACTGAATTAGCTGTCCTGGAACAGGAGAGGGGTGGAGGAGTAGCATCAATAGAGAATCACTTCAAGTCCGTAACTGGCACCTGTTGGAGACAGAACTGAACCCTTCTCGACCACCTGCACACAGACTGGCATTATATTTGGCTCCGTGCTGTTTTCCTACCATAGTGTGTGCGTCTGGAGCACAGGATGCATAACTTTATTCATGTTTGTGTGTGTCCTCCACAGCACGCTGCACACAGTAGGCCCCCAAGACAAGTTTCAGTGAACTTATGAATAATTAAATTTCCACATCTAAGCAAAATCTAAAGATTTGCCCAGATCTAAACTCTGGATTTTAGAGTTCTGGGTGCTCCGAAGTACCTGGCACACAGCGCCCCAAAGCCCTTGTTGAACCAAACAGAATAAATCAGATTCACCCAGTTCCGCCCTGGCAGCGAGGTCTGCATTTGGCAGGACGACAGAATTCATTGCCGTTAAAATTCTTATGTAAGAGTTAATGACTCTCCAGCCCGCTTGACATCCCTCCCACGACGAGAGGAAGGGAAGGGAAAGGAAGCGAGAGCACTATTTACACACTCGTACTCGTTCGGTGGCAGATGCACTGATTAATTTCTAGCTTCGGTTCCCCACAAAGATCTTAAAACACCGCGGGAGGCGGGCGGAGGGGGCGGCGTGCGGGCACGTTTGGTTCCGTGGGTAAGGCCTGCCCACCCGGCACGCCCTGGGCTCGGGGTCTGCGGTGACAGCCGCCCCAGAAGGTGCCTCGGGTCCCCGGTGGTCCCCGTGGGAGCCCCTGCAGGCGCTGGTGCAGGGC